CCGCTTGTGTGCCAGTGCGCACAATGATTCTAGTGCTCCCTAACGTTCCGCGTACGAACGACCATAGCATTTTCCCCATTGTGCTGTCTCGGCAGGGCCGCAACGATAGTGGTGGCTTTACGATGAACACGTTTTGCTATCGGCCACAAAAACAATAACCGCTGTGACTGCTTATCGCTGTCATGAACCGGTGCGAGGGAATTAAGCGTGTCGTTCGCACGCGGAACGTTAGAGAGCACTAGAATCATCGTGCGCACTGATGCACGAGTGGGTTTGTCATGGAGTATTTTTTGTATTTCGTGGGCATTTGTAATTAGCAGAAAAACACTTATACTTATCAGATATACAGTGCAAAATTAACTATTTCGACGTTTTGCAAACCGATCTACAACTTTCTCATTGAAATTTTTTATCCATCTTCGCTCCCTCAAAGCCCCGCCGCGGTGGTCTATTGGCTAAGGTACTCGGCTGCTGACCCGCAGGGCGCGGGTTCGAATCCCGGTTGCGGCGGCTGCATTTCCGATGGAGGCGGAAATGTTGTAGACCCGTGTGCTCAGATTTGGGCGCACGTTTAAGAACCCCAGGTGGTCTAAATTTCCGGAGCCCTCCACTACGGCGTCTCTCATAATCATATAGTGGTTTTGGGACGTTAAACCCCACATATCAATCAATCAATCGTTCCCTCAAAAGTTATCTAAAACAGACCTAATTAAACAATATTCACGAACACAAAACAATAGCTTCACTTAGTCCAGGCAGCGGTGAGCTACATGCATATGGTCGCGTCGTGATTACGTGTTCCGGCATATTTTTTAACTCTGGCTAAAGTTACGTGGGACACCCTGTATATGCACGCGTTCTGTTCCATACAATAGCTTTATGGGGGTTAGAATAAGCGCTCTGAAGCGATAAGTGTTTCCTTAGCAATGGCTGTTAGTGTTGAAGAGGCATCATGCGAATACCTATGTATACCCAAATCAGATGAAACCTCGCTGAACGTGCGCCCAATTGTATTGCACCGAACGCACGCTTTCCTTGTTTCCAGCATGGTTGTATGTCATCGAATGTTGCCTGCTTATAATAACTTCGGTGGCGGGAATGTTTCGCACTGTCTGGCCATTTGTGTTTTTTTGTACTTGTTTCTTCGTCTGTTCTAGTTGTTTGTTTGATTGAGATACATGTGTATTCACTCATTGTTGTTGCTTACAACGTAACTGTGCATACCACCGTGGCGTGTCGCGAGTATGCAAATTGTGAAAATGTATATCGATGTATGTATACGTGCGTGTCACGTTGTTCTTTGAATGTACTTTGATGTAATCAGTGTGGAATCGCTTTTGCCTTTTTTTTCCTTTCCTATGTTTTAGCTTTTAAAGCGAAGACGCACCGTATACTGAACCAAGTGCCCGTTAAGTGAAACCTGTCGATTTCAAGTTCGTCCATGTTCCTAAATACGTATTTCTAAAACCTATCTACATGTACGAAAAGTCGGGAAAGATATCGTGAAAGAAATCGTAAAAGCATTCATTCTGGGCATATCACGATATTCCTTCGGCTTCTATGTGGCGGTTGTGCGTGAATACCAGTCAATACGTGGTTGCAACGTTGATGGCTGCCGTTCGTCAGATGACTAGTCAACCTATGGTAACAATGTACGTTTACTTTTCCCTTTACTGGTTATATAACGCCTAAAAGGAGGTCAAGCGCGCAGTACGAGGAATATGGTCTGAACCGTTTTCTACAGGTTTTTGTTTCAGTACACGGTGTATATTCTGATATAGGATTAAGAATATGATCAGATATGACCTTTTGATGAAACTTGACTGCGGCGTTGGTTGCAACGCAGCGACGGCTTGGTCTGTCTCTCTCTCTCTCTCTATATTTTTTTTTTTTGTAAACCGCTATCCGTTGCAGTTTAAAGGAGTTGGTCGGAAAACGTTGAGAGATGGGTTTGCTTGCGGAGCCTCTGTATCGATCATATTTACCGCACGCGTTGGAAAAATTATTTTAAGAGTCACGTGCACGCACCCACACGTACACGTGTTCAGCTTACTGATAGCTCAGTGCATGCATTGACACGTTTGCGTGCGCCCCCATCTTCCAACCGAACGTCGGTGACCCTATTTCGTTCGCTGGATTTCTTGTTCATCGGTTTACTCAACAGTACCCGATTGCTGCGACGTCTGTGAGTTGATCATGGCGGCCCGCGTACCTCGAAAGCCATTGACTGCTCTTAACAAAGTAGTGCCGAAAGCAAAAAAAAAACAGAAAACAAAAAACAGCTAGATCCAAGTGCGTAGGCGTTCGTGTCAGTCCCAGTGATAAAGTACGAGATAAGTTCACGTGAAACTTTCTCCGCTGGCTTCCTAGTGGCTTGAGCGATAAATGCTAGAGAGAAACTCGGGACGTGCCGCTAGAACGCTTGGTTAAAGGGCCTTCGTGCATAGGCAGTGCCTCCTCTATTTTGTCAATGCCAGCCAGATGCACCCGATTCAGCCGTTCACCATTTTCTCTTCTCGCCCTTTCCTGCTCTCGCCCATCGCCTAGCCATCGCGTGCGCTCGGCGGTCAAGGGGAAGAGGGCCCCTTATGCGGGGTGCCTTACCGAGAATGATGCAAAGTAATGTTTTGTTCAGTTGTGTACAGATCCGTGGGGCGGCGTCTTGCACCCCTCGCGATTAATGTCCCTGGATATTTTGCAGGAAAGTACCGCCGTTCTTTTAACCGAACCCCCACGCCACGCACCCTCCTCTCCCGCCTCTCGGGCAGCCACGATCATCAGGCGTGTTATCAACGTGACATAGTATTATTTCAAGCTGGACGGTCGTGCCCTCGCGATCTCCGACGACAGCGTAGCTCCCGCCGACCGGTTCGCCCTCCGCGGTCTCCTGACGCCGTGAAGCTCTCGCATTGTGGCGCCCCGTCCTTGGACTGCTTCGACCGGATCCCCACTTTCCCATCTTCTATTTTCCGTCGCTTGCCTTCTCTATCTCTACATCTATTTGCTTCTATTCTCCTTACCCCTCCTTCCCCCCACCCCTAAAGGCACTGCGCCGTGTCGCCCTTAGGCAGACAGAAATTAGGTGCAGAAATTAGGCAGACAGAAATTAGGTGGACATGCTCTACGCCATCTACCGACGCCGACAAGAGCTCTCGCAAGTGTGCCCCGTCTTCGAACTCCAGTGACCGTGCTTCCATCTTTCCTATCTCTCCTATCCCCTCAGTTTGTTGTCGCTTCTTCTGGCTTACCACCTCACGTCTCTTCCTCTTTTCTACACCTTTACTTCTAGAGTTGTTGCGCGTCATGGCGACCGCCGTCTCGGGTAGCGGGGCCGATCGCCGACGCTCCGTCGCGCCAAGGACTAGGGGAGAGCTTTGAGCAAACTTAACGGATTTATTTACATCTTTACAGTTAGTTGTCGAGATGACAGAAGAGAAGAGAAGAGCTAGTGGTTTCACAAACCACGAGCGTGGTGGCTGAACTTTACATCTACCCTTTTTATCTCTCCTCACCCCCATCCCTTGTGAACTATTGTTGAGGTGTCGCTCACTGAAGCAGACAGTTACGGGGCTCACTTTTCTCTTGCTTTCGCTCTTAAGAATCACCCATTCATAGAAAAGTGACGCGAGCCGGTTCGTGGCGCCGGCGCCCGCTCGGTGGCCGTTCGGGAGAGGATATAGATAAGGTTGGGACACTTGGGAGAGGATACGGAGGAGAGTGTCGGTACTTTCTCTATATTAAGGGACTTTACTCGTGATCACAACGTTGGCGGTCACGCTGGCTTTGTAAGTGATGCGGTGTTATGAGATATCAAGTCGCCGTTCGTGGCGATACGCGGGCAACCAATCTAAAGCCCCTTTAAACCAATCGGGAAGCGTCGCTGCAACTAAACTGCATGCGCCAACTTCAAGAGCGCTGTGATGCAGCGGTGGAATTGCTTCGAGCCACAAAGCAGAAGCCCGAAGGAACAAATCTGACGAACGGATGATATTGGAGTGGGGAACGCGTCTGTGGTATCTCCGGGGGAAAGCGCTCGGAAGCACGTGTGACGCTAACATGCAGCGCGACCCGTCAAATAGCGCCGCATCATGACCACTCCCTGAATTAAGGGTGGACCGACGGACCCCGGTATAGGAAGCGCGTGTTTGCACTGGCATTGAAATAAAGGAGGCGTTGGTACATGGCAAGGCACAATGCACGTCCGACCTTGATGCCTTGCCTTCGCATCACGACGTCGTTTTACACTTATTAATATTATTAGAGGAAAATGACGCAAGGTGCTGATATAGCCTTACCAACGCGCTTTCACTCTCGATGACCACATATTATCTCATTGAAGAGATTGATTGATTGATTGATTGATTGATTGATTGATTGATTGATTGATTGATTGATTGATTGATTAAATTCTCGTGGCCAGGAATAGGACCTGCTATCTTGAGCTCACTATATTGCGACGTCGTAGTTACAGGGCTACCGAAGTATGTCGTTGATAAACGTAAATTTACATACTTCAGATTAAAGAGAAAGCGAGTGCAGGTCACTTATAGATGTGCTTCGAGCGCATGATGGATGCCTCATTGAACTCACAGAAGAATGGTTCGAGTGGGAGGGGAACACGCAGAGTCGAAAGCAGCTGGAGATCAGGTCGAATGATGAGATGAAAAGAGCTCGTACCCCGTTCGTTCTGCGGGGGACCTAAATGCGAATGCGACGCTCATCAACCTGAGCGTCCTTTACAAGAAATCTTTGAGCGAACGAAACGAAGCGTGTACATTCAGGTCATCAATGTTTGTCGACTCGCGAAGTGAGCGAAAGAAGCGAGATAACGTCGGTGTACTTCGCACCACTTCGTGTCCGAAGTCTCTCTGCGCCGCAGTGCCTCGCCGTCGATGCGTTACAGCCCGTGGCACTCTGCGTTACGCGCTCTGCTGCGATGATGTTCGTGCCGCCACTCGCGCTGATCAGGCAACGTGTGTCCGCGGTCTCGCCTATTCCAGCGGATCAAGTACGCGCCGCGTCGCAAAGCGCCGAGGTCGGGACGGCAGAGAAGCGCAGGCACACGGTCGGGGCAATGTTCTCGAGGTCCTTCCACCAGGACTCGGTCGAAGCCGAGGACCCAACCAAGCTCCTGGTGAAGGCACTCAACGAAAACCCCTACCACAAGGTACGTATGGTTCGTCTATGTATACACACAATACCTCGTTTCAGAAGCCTTAATTTGTAAACGTTTGCGTTGAACCTGATGCGAAACATATGAAACCTAATCACGGAAAACTATGTGGGCGAGTACTTTTTTGAACTTGACCGTAACACGAGCAAGTCTGGTGGTTTGTGTAACGCCAGTATGATACCCGTAGTGTTCAGGGGTGGTGCCGGGTGTGATCATAGGGCTAGGGCACCAGGCCTCGCCCATTTCCTTCTTCAAACTCTGCCTCTCCCCGCCCTCCCCCAAGAGCAAACATGGCCAAAACACTAAATAAATAAGTTCCCCGTCTCCCTGTGTGCCTCCTCTCAAAGGAACTCACTTGTGCATGCCCCCACCGCAGTAAACAAATCGTGGCGCCGCCCCGACTGGCCTCCTCGGGTAGCTTTAGTGCAGTTTCATGGTCCAGAAATATTTCTTTGAGACAAGCCTCGATGTTATTTTGTTTCTTCGTGTGTACGCTATAACACAGAATTTTGCAGATGTGATGTATCGTCTTCTTGTAGGGCAGTCAAGCCTAAGACGCAGCCAATGATTTCATTTCCCAACGCACAATTCGAAGCTTACGGTTCCCTTGCTCGCATAGCGCTTTGCGGCGCACACGGATGCGACTGCACTGATTTGGTTTTGCGAAAAACATTCGGCATCGCGAAGACACCGTCCTCTAAAGCTCATTGCCGCACTCTCCCACCAATGGCAGCAGGAGCCAATGAAACTTCGTCTACAATAGTCATAAATGCGCTTGAGTCCCACGTTGAGCTCTCAAGAGCATATATATATCCAAAGGCGCTCGAGGAGCGTGGTCAGTTTGTGACCTTTGCCTAAACAACCAGGTGTACGTTACATCTACTTAAGTTCCTCCTGGCGCCTCATAAGGTGGGAGAACGGAAATTTTAGATTGATCGAAATGGTCGAGCTGCTGAAGCCGATGTGTCGACAACAGGACTTGTCCAGCTCACTGGGGAAGTCTCCTTGTCGGAACGTTGGATTTGACGGCATCCCTGTTTCGACGACTGTGGACCACATGCTCAAACAGTGTATGACTACTCACATATATGTGCATAACAGACTGCTCACACTACTTGGCTAACAGGCCATTGATACAGTAACGGTTTCTATTACCTGTTATCGCTTAGCTCAATACCACTGCATCGGGAGAAGAAGGAGCGGGAGGGATGAGATTCAAGCAGATGCGCATGTGGTTTGCTTAGGGAGGCGCTGGCTAGGGAAACGGGATTGATGGATTTAAAGAAAGACGGGAAAACGTACCAAGGGTACATGTGCACTTGGCTATTACATGTCTATAGGCAATTGCTTAACCCAACTAGTCGCTATTGAAAACTATTCCCACGTCCCCTTGCTGGCCTGCAACGCATAGTACCACGATCCGAGGATCTTTCAAAAACTGTCTGCCATCCGCTTTGTTAAGCGCGGTGCGAGTAGCGTTGTCTTTGGTTGCAAAGCTTTTCGTCCCTCCTTCGTGCGAACGCAGTACCACCAGCGCTACAACCCGAACCTGGTGGGCGACGAGCATCAGGAGCTGGAAGCCCACTTGCGGGCTCGCCGCCGGCGTGCTCACCGGCTCACGTTGGCCACCATGGCCAGCGAAATGAGTTCGGCCGAGATGAGCGTCGAGGGCAGCCGCGGCAACCTGGCGCCGCCGTCTCCGGGTGCCACGGTGCTCAGTCCCGTGACGGTGGGACCGGGAGGGACAACGACTCCCGGCGGAGGAGGGGACGTGGCGGCCACAGTCGCCGCCGCCGCCGCACTGTCGGCAGGCGTCGAGCAGCTGGCCGACGGGCGGCCCCTGACTGCAGCGCAGTTCCGCCGCGCCTCCACGACGCTCCAGAAGAGCGCCTACACCTGGCTGAGCCTGGCCCACCGGCGCCACTCCATGATGCGCCGCAACAAGGCGGGTTCCGTGGACGGACGCTCGCTCAGGTGAGAAGAAATGACTGCCAGGACCGAATGCGGGGCATTGGTAGCGTGGAGAAGGCTGGGAGAATAGCCTTTGCTAAGTCTGCCCCATACGTACCTTAACTCAGTCGGAGCTGTCCTTTCCATTGTTCAAAGTGTAGAGTTAAGGTCACGGAGTTTCTTGGCAATGGCGGCCTATTATTCTTAACTGCCTACTTCCGATAACTTCTGCCGGAGAACCAAAAGCAGAGTGTTGTGAGAAGCGCATCATTCGTTAATTATCAGTTGGTTGTGAAGTTTGTTTTCTGTGGGACTCGACCAGTGAGAAGGAGAGGAGGGGGTGACATGCTGAGGGTAAACTTGCACCCCACCCCCAATAACGTAGGCCCTTATGCTATAGACGTGGACATCCTGTTATCAATACTGGCAGTTCATCCTCTCCTTACACAACACGTTTATGCGCTGCTGGAGTCACAAACGTGTCGAAAGACGTCAGTCCAGCTATCTAAGCGAATTTCCTTTAACACCATATAAGACCAGAACTAACCTTTTCAAATATTCTTTCTTTCCGCGCACTATAAACGTTTGGAATACTCTGCATTTATCACAACTAATAAGCACAGACTCCATTGAACATATATCTACTTGATGTTCGCCATTGTCATGTTGATTAATCTTTCATTTCTTATTTTTAGTGCTCCTTTTTTGTGTTTCAATTTTTTTTTGTATTTCAAGTGTCTTGCGAGGGTATAGGCAAATGTTTATGCACATGCAATGTGTTCTTACTTCTGTTATCTCTTTCTGACGTTGTTTTCATTGATTATGTTTTTCGTATTTCTTCAGTGTACATCTTGTTTAGTTGTGACTTTCTCCTTTCATTTTTTTGTGATTGCTGTTCATGGATATATATATATATATATATATATATATATATATATATATATATATATATATATATATATATATATATATATATATATATATATATATATATATATATATAGTGTGTGTGTGTGTGTGTGTGTGTGTGTGTGTGTGTGTGTGTGTGTGTGTGTGTGTGTGTGTGTGTGTGTGTGTGTGTGTGTGTGTGTGTGTGTGTGTGTGTGTGTGTGTGTTGCATTTATATTCATGTATTTGCCCTCCTGCTTGGACTCAAATAGGGTCTGCAGTATTGTATAAATAAATAAATAAATAAGCACCACGTCTGTACTTCTGAAGTACATTTGTACGAACGTTGGTTACACAAACTGTTCAGTTATACGAACTCTTTTAAGTCTCCCGCCGAAGCACCGTGAGACCCAATGTTAAGGCATATCAGTTTATCGAAATCACTGCAGGGTACATTTCAATTCCAATCCAACGCCTCTTGCATCATATCGATAAGAAATCGTCTTAAAGATTGGGTACAGACAGCGTTTCGGGTTTTGAGGACAATGTCACCTGTGACTCCCGTGTAGACCAGTGGCGGATCCAGAGGGGGGGGGGGGCGGTAGGAGCGATCCACCTCCCCCAAACCCTGTCAGCACGCCCCCCCCCCCCCCTTTTCTTCAGTGCTTACTGCTCATCTACTATCCTCAAATAAGACAAATTAGCGGGACCACTTTGAGCACACATTAACAGTGTTTATGCTTTGAGAAAATTTTTTGGTAGTAAAAACAAAAAATAATGACCGCGCCCCCCTTTTCATTGTTACTGCAAGCGACCGCCCCCCCCCCCCCCCCCTAAAATGAGCCGCTGTATCCACCCCTGCCGTAGACATGTGCCACTCTTTCTACAGAAGAGATTGTAGCGAGCGTCATACCTCGGGAAAAACGAGGATGATGTGGAAGAAGTCCTTGTAGAGAAATCACCCCAGAATTTCAGCTAACGATATACTTGGAAAAAGTGAGGCCCTTCGCTTGCCAGCAGAGGGTTACGGCGGATGAAGGTTCATGAGAGCTTGGACACAGTGACTCAATTCACGACCACTGCAGTTCTAAGTGCAGCGAAAGACTACTGTATTTTTCAAACCATTTAAAATAAGCACTAAGCTGCATTCAAATAAGCAGCATATCTTTTATTTACTGCCTTAAAATGGGAAAGTCGCAAGTTTTTTTTTTCTTTCTCCTTTTTTGAGAAAGAATATTATATTGACGTTATCAGCGCAACCATCCTTTTTCTGATGATAATGGGGGGGGGGGGGGGGCTGTCCCTCTCGCGCGCGAGCTTATGTCTACGTCCTTACGAAGCGTCCAATAAAGAATGTCGATGATTCAGTATGCAGCGACGGCGCTGCAGCGCTCGTCTCGAGTTCGACTCTGGAACAGAATCGGAGACAGATACATCAACTGCACACCATATTTGGACCTTCGCGAGTGCGTGTTGTGGTACAGCTGCCGAAGGTGCGCAGTCAAGCTGAGGCGCAGGGGTGTGGGATCGGCGCTCTATTGAAAGAGTACGCCTTTGTTTACCGAGTTGGGTGCTGCTCGCCGGACGCCTGGGATCTCTACCTGTCTCGTACTACGTGCATGCTCTGCGAGGGCGCTTCGTCTTTTTTTTTTTCCCGCAATGGCGCTTCGTCTTTCTTTTTCCCACAATCGCCGCGCGCCTGTTCGCCCAACGCTGGCGCCGCGAGCTGTCGCGCCGTTTGCGTGCACGCCAGCTCTAGTAGACGTCTCTACCTGCGGCTGCAGTGAATGTCGATAAACGAACGCGGCTGCAAGTCCCAAGTCATGAGAATAAATAGTCGAGAACGTGCGTCGCACCGTTCTGTGAACGAGGTAACCTTGCGTGCACATGCACGAGTATATTTATACGAGCCCACTTTCATTTCATTTATTTTACCCTCAATCGCATATAGCTTTACAAAGGGGAGTGGGGTACAAAAAAATAATAAACTATAAACAAGAGCAAACATAGTAACACCAAAATAATAAAGATTACAAGACATGAAAATTCGATGTTAGGCAATACACTGAATGTATTGTATCATCAAAAACATGGGGGAAACAGAGTGCAATAATTTATATGTACAGTATACACTTCACGCGTCATCACGTAAGTACTCCTGTATTGTGGAAGAAAACAAGTCATGATTTGACATGGAAACCATGTCCGAAAGAAGGTGGTTCCAGTCGTTGGATGTGCGTGGGACGAAGGAATGATGGAAAGTGTTAGTGCGGCAGCTAATGACGTGTTTCTTATGTTGATGATCTGAACGAGCTGAGTAATAGGATGGAGTGGTAATGAACTGAGCTTTTAAAAGTGGACATCACCTGCCATGCTAACTGTAACATCGGCATAACCGGTGTTTGCTATAACCGTGTCGTAGAGTAAAGTGACGAGCAAACAAGGAGGTGGGTTTAGGTGCAATGGCAAAGCTGCTGCTATAGCGGGAATGTGGTTACGTGTGCTTAGCCGTCCGCGGGAAGGGGGTGTAAAAGGCAAACTTCTCACGTCGTTGTGGACAGTGGCGTAGCCAAGGGGCGACACACTGGGCCTGCACCCTCCCCCATTTTCTTCCCGTGGCATGTGCAGCACAAAAAAAAAAAAAACCAGCGCCACATAAAGTGAATGATGTTAGAGGAGCTTGCTTCGAAAATATTGGGTAAACCAAAGTAGAATTTTAAAAAAATTGCTCGAATGGAAATGATTGCCCTGGAGTGAAGCCGTGCCTATTGCAAGATGGCGGCTGCGGTGGCCATCTTACTAGGGGCATGGTAAAGTATCACCGTTCGGTGATTTATAACAGAGCGTTTCCCTCGCACGCCCAACGAGTTTAATGTGGAAACTTCTCCGGGTCACAAAGTGCTCCAAGTGCGTCATAGTGTTTCTAATTTTCCTTAATAAGCCTCTAATTGGAGGCAAAGTTTTTGGAGATTTAGTCCCCCATACTCGTTTCTGTATGTTATTTCGTCGGGAACAACTACCTTTTAATATACAACTAACGTAGCACTTGCATTAACATATCAAAGGCACTTCATCTTTAAGTGGGCACTACCAGAAAAAAACATCTTTCTGCCATCTTGGCAGTGGCAAAAGGTGGCTTCACTTCTGCTGGCAAGGCATTGCGGGAGCTTCCACTCCAGCAATCGTTTTAATCCTCCTAGGGTAAACCGCGAATATTCCGTACACATCTCCTACCATCATATATAGACGTGACAACGGTCGAGCGGTAACGAAGGGCGTGCACTCTGTGTGCTCCCGGCGAAGAGAAAGGAAGCACACGTACTGAGAGTTGTGTGCGCCGGATGGATGGATGAATGGATTGATATGGCGGTACCCTTTAGATCGGGTGGCGGCTAACGGCACCTAGCTGCGATACTTAGTTAACCAACAACTAGATTTATCTTTTTTCTATTAATTAGTGAAGTTGAGGACTGTTACTTTGCAGTGAAGGATTTAATTCTCACTCGTGCCTTGAGTCTAGCCAGCAATCATAACCTCCTTCTAGTTATTTCTACCCGCGTAAAGCCTATTTTGCCCTCGCTGTTCCTAAAACCCAGTGCTTTGAAAAACTATGCGCCATCGTCCTGAACTATATGGTGAAGCCCTTTACAGAACATTATCAGGTGTTTGCCAGTTCTCTCCACCTCTCCACACTCCTACTCTCCACTAGATGGCGCGCCACCAGATGGATGGATGGATATGGCTGTACCCTTTAGATCGGGTGGTGGCTAGCGCCACCAAGCCGTAATACTTAATGAACCAAAAACTAGATTTATTTTTTTTCTTTAAAAAGTTAGTTTGAAGATTCGTGCTTTGCAGATGGCGCGCCGCCGGATGGATGGATATGGCTGTACCCTTTAGATCGGGCGGTGGCTAGCGCCACCAAGCCGTAACACCTAATGAACCAGAAACTATATTTTTTTTTCCTGAAAAAAAGAGTTTGAGGATTCGTACTTTGCAGTGAAGAGTTTAATTTTCACTCGTGCCTTGACTTTAGCCACCAATCAGATAACCTCCTTCTAGTTAAGTCTACCCGCTTAAAGTTTTATTTTGCCCTCCCGGTCCCTAAACCCCAGTGCTTTGAAAAACTCTGTGCC